TGAGGAAGACCGGCTCTGAGCTAACATCTATTGCCAATCCTCCTCCTTTTTTTCCCCAAAGCCCCAGTAGATAGTTGTATGTCATAGTTGCACTCCAGATTCTTGATAGTTATTACCTCTGAGGAACGTAGTGTATTTGTAATGTTTTATTTCTTAAAGTTAAAAAGAAATTAAAGCAGATGTAGAAATAACATTAAAAACTGATGAAGCTAGGTGATAGTAGATGTTCATTATAGAATTCTTATATTTATCTCCATGTTTGAAATATTTTATAAAGCATTAGTATAACCAAATGAAGTGTCTTGTTTGGATCCTAATTCAAGCAAATCTTCAAAAAACATTTTTGTGGCAATTGGAAAAATTTTACAACAGATTGGTTATTAGATTATATCAAGCAATTGTAAATTTTTTTAGGTGTAACAGTGACACTGTGTTTATATAAGAAAGTATCCATGTTTTTGGAAACGCATATGTAGTATGTTAGATAATGTAATATGGTTTCTGGGGCTTACTTTAAAATACTTTTAGCAAAGAAGGATAGTTGAAATAAATGTGGCAAAATCTTGATAATTGGTGAATCTTCATGATAGGTATGTGAAGGATTATTGTATTATACTCTCAACTTTTGAGTATGTTTGAAAATCTTCATAATTACACATACAAAAACAATTACTTTTTTTTTTCTTTTTTGCTGAGGAGGATTCGCTCTGAGCTAACATCTGTTGCCAGTCTTCCTCTTTTTTTGCTTGAGGAATGTCAGCCCTGAGCTAACATCCATGCCAATCTTCCTCTACTTTGTATGTGGGTCGCCGCCACAGCATGGCAGGCGAGTGGTGTAGGTCCGCACCTGGGATCTGAACCCTGGCTGCTGAAGTGGAGCACACCAAACCCAACCTCTGTGCCAGGGGGCTGGCCCCAATAATTATTCTTTAATAATAACTTGTACAGTTGGCTAACATGTTTGTTATGCTTTGCTACAAAAAATTTAAGTTTTTCCAACTTTATTTTTAACTTCTATTTATTTCCTGGTTTAAACATATATACATATACTTAAAGTAATATAACATATATATTATATCTTATCTAAATATGTGTAAATATATATAAAGGAAGTCAAAAATAAAATTTGACCTAATCTTCCTCCAGGCTTTTGACTGTGTGGAAACATGCCAAAAATAAGTATTTAGGTTTGGTATTTGTTTGCAGTTTTTCTGTTCATATTGACAACATGGCAGGGAATAGCTCTGCGTAATTTCCAAAAAATCAAAAGTAGCAGGGATAATTAGCATGAGGAGGTGTTCAGTATATAAACTTGAGCCTTGACAAAATTGTAGTTCTCAGAAATGAATAAAGTGTTCCAGAAGTAATGCTTTTTCTTTTATTTTTTCGTTTTACAAAACAATTTAACACTTAGAATATGGAGTTGATATGCACGGGTGCACACACACACACACACACACACACACACTTTGTGGTTTCATGTGTTTATATCTTTGCTCAGCTTCTGGGTCATTCAGAATATTTTAATAATGGTGACAAAATGATGTGAAACTGATGTTGAGAGTAGAGATTTCTGAAATGGCTTTACTGTAAATTAGCATGACTAGGTTTTTTTCCCTTGTTACTTATACCACAAAATTGTTAATTCCTGTGATTGTTTGATAATGATGAATATATTCACAGCTTTTAAAAGTTCTTTAGGGGCCAGCCCCGTGGCGCAGGCGGTTAAGTGCGCACGTTCCGCTGCGGCGGCACGGGGTTCGCCGGTTCGGATCCCGGGCGCGCACCGACGCACCGCTTGTTAGGCCATGCTGTGGCGGCGTCCCATATAAAGTAGAGGAGGATGGGCATGGATGTTAGCCCAGGGCCAGTCTTCCTCAGCAAAAAAGA